GCCTTGTCTTCATCCTCAACCATGATATCCACATTGGCCATGTCTGAAAGTAGCTTTGTGAAGTTGTTAACATGCTCCCTAATGGAAACTCCCCTCTTCATCTTGAACTGGTAAAATCTCTTCTTCAAGTGAAGCCGATTCTCAATGCTCTTAGTAAGATACTTTTCATTGATCGTTTCCCACATATTCTTCGCCGATGTCTCGTTCATCACGTCATAAATAAGATCCGGCGTCAAGCATGATCGAATAACTCCACACGCCCTACTATTCATCTTCTTCCAAACCTTAGCTTCCATCTTGGCAGGTTTCTCTTGTAACTCAAGAGTCTCCTCCAAATTCTGAGCGTCCAAGGCGTCCATCACCTGACACCTCCACAATCCGAAATTAATCTTGCCGTCGAACTTCAGAACATCAATCTTCATGTTATTGATGCTCAAATTATGTATCGTCTTCGTAAGAGACTATCCCGATGTGCTTGTTTCACCCATGTTATCGATCTAATCTTCAAATAGGAATTCTTCAGCGAATCCTTCAAACAAGCTCACAAGTCCAACCCGGAGCTCTGATACCACTTGTTGTGCGCAGCGGAAATTTTGGCAGCACTTCGACAGTACAACAAGAGAGATTAGATCGATAAGAATTCATGTTTCACCAAGGAAACAAGAATCTGAAGCGGATATCTCAACAAAGTGAGATACTGGCTCTTCCTCTCATCAGTTTTAGGACTGACCTGTCGAGGGATCCTACAAGCTATTACAAATCACGACAAGAACACAACTTTTACGTGGTTCGACAAATTACCGACGTCCACGGGGCAAGGAGGGGGGAGATCTACTATTAGAGGGAGAGATATAACTAGGGTTTACAATCACTCAATCTAAACCCTCTCAAAACAAACTCTCAAATCCCTCTTAATCTCTCTCTACAAAAGGATGTACAAACTCTCAAAGTCGACACTGTGTTTTCTCCTTGCTTGCGCACTGCCAAAGCACGCCTTCTGCAAACTTTGCTTTGCTTGCGCCTGCACACAACACACAACCGACTTTTATTTTGTTTTGCTCACAAATCCACCGCCTCACGCTCACACGCCCTCGTTTACACGAAGCCGCCGCCAAAAACTGCCTGCCACGGAACCTCCTTGCTCACGTCCCTCACGAAACCCTAGGCAAAGGCTTTTTTATAAAGCTATCTCGGGTGGGCTTTGTTGTTCCGCAACTAGAGAGAAACCGCAATCACGTGGGTCTGTCTGTGGGTTTCACTTTGTGGCCCCCACGTCCCACTCGTTTACAAATTGTAGAATAAAATAATACGACTAAATTCATGAATTTTAATTGAGAGAGCTACAACGTAAAAGGAGAAAGAGGAGGAGAGGAGAATCGAGGGGGGAGGTAGAGGTAGACATAGATGGAGGAGAAGATGATGAAAGGAGAAAGATGAGAGGCTGATGATGAAATTAATTAAAAAGAGTGTTAACAATTAAATGTTGATTTTCATGTTAATAGGATTGGAAGGATGATTAGAAAAAAGACTACAAACATGACAAAAATATTTTGGGGAGAGGAAGCATGATATTCAAAAAGTAAGGGCCTAGAAACAATTTCCCCTTATGTTTATCCACTACCCCTGCATAGTTTTGTTTTTATTTTCCATGGAACCCCCGAAATAGTTATGATCCATTGATCCTTATGTTTTACGCTCCAGACTATTTTTCCCATTAATATTTTTAATTGATTGAAAAGTGGAAAATTTTTCTTTTATAAAAAGACAAAACAGAAGGCAAGCAACAAAATCGTCTGATGAATAACGAAGAATAAGGGATATGTTTTATGTTAACAAAAACATTAGAAATTCCCATATTTTCTCATTGGGTTTGAAAAAGTATGCACCACATTAGAATGTATATGAAAGAAAATCACACAAAGAAAAGAAGGAAATTATAAAGAGGAAATAGTCATATATTATATATATACATATATACGTATATATATAATATATTATAACTTACTATATACATTAAATTATGATTCTAGTAATGCAGCACGGAAGTGAAAACCCTGGAATCCACCAATAAAGTGCTCTTTAAATCCACAAAGAATAAACTAAGAATCCACGAAGAAAATATTAAAAGTGAAATTTTATTGATGAAAAGTTATACCTTTAGGACTTATAATCATCCGCTTAAATAGAAAATAAACAAGACTCCTATTAGGATCATAACTTTACCAAAAATAAAAATAACAAAACTCTTTTTAAAAGACCCCATGATTACAGAAGCAAAATTAGTCAAATTTAGAATCAAACCGAATTTATTTTCTAATCAAAATAGATTCATAAAACATTACCTAAAATAGTAAAAAATTAACAAAAGCTCTAATATCTCTCAATACAGAGGGAATTTCGCAAAATAGACGATAGCAAACCGAATAATGATATGTTTGGTTGACACTGCCTCAAAAAATACGTGACTTATATATATCAGGCTCATGTTTGGACTTTTGATGTCCCGTTCCTCTATGAATATATCCGCGCGTTTTACATCATCTATCCAAGAAACTAAATGACTTAATATATTCTAATCTAATATCTCACATAATTGTTCAAGTTAATCATATCATGTAAACTAATTTGATTAAATCTAATACTATTATAAAAGTGTGTTGGTATGTTAAAACATTTCTTCCGAAAATGCCCTTTAAAACACATACATGCATACATAAAACATATGCATCTATACATAAACCATATCTCATACGTACATAACCACCAATTAAATGCATTATTATTCATAACCCCTAAAATAATTTCACCATAACTAAGTTGTTTATATTTTTATAACCTCCCATTAACATATTAGTCTCTTATAATTCTCACTAATTATCACTGTCACAATTAAAAAAATGTTATAACCATTCATCTTCTTACTAAACCACTATAAATCATAACAAATCTCTTACAAAAATGAGTACATCATATGCAACCCTCATCATCTCCATTGCACCTCCTCAAATCCTTGAACGTCTCTTTGTCCCGATTTTGCCTATTTGGATTTCATTCTCTGCACAACCAACCACTACTTACTATCTCTTATTATAACATGATGAGATTAGCATGATTTATAGTGAAAGATTCTTTCTCTATCTTTTATAGAGAATGTTTCAACTGATTTTTTACTATTAGAATTTCTCTTTGCTTGATTTGGCTTATTATAATTTATGTCTTCATTGGTCAATCAAGATTTTTTAAGTTTATATTTAACTATTGTTTTGAGAACCATAAAACCCAATCAAGTATGAAATTCATGATTTAACAAAGTATGTTTTACTTAAAATATTTTATTTAAAGTTATAGTTTTTTATTTAATCTCTCACTCATAACCTCTCCTAATCTTTAATTTCATCCATTAATCTCCATCACTAACAATAATAAAAATCCCCCCCCCCCTAACCCCCCCTATCAAACACTATCCTTTAATTTTAGCAGAAACTAAATATACTTAATTTTTATAACCTCCCAATAAGAAATTAATCTCCTACTCTCTCTTTCTTAATTCTCACTAATGATCACTACCATAATCATAGAGAATGTTTCAACTGTTTATCTTTATACTAGCCACTATAAATCATAACTAATTTGTTTAAAATTTTATATGAATTCTCTTTTAAGTATAATTTCCTACTTCATTATTAACACTTATAAAGTAAGATTTCAAAATAAGCTAAATATAAAGTGAGGCTTCGTGATGTGTGTATTATTTAGAGCTCAAGGTCTTAAGACTAACTTCTGGAAATGACACATCAAGTTAATTCACTTCCAACTGATCAAGTAAGATGAATAACTGAAGAAGAAATAAAGAGTAGTTTCCCGTATTTATATAAATGAGTTTGAGATTTTTAGGTTCTGCTCTTACTATGTATATGCAAAGATCTTTAGCACTAGCATAATATGCACATAGCAATCCATATTTTCCAGCGTAACGAAGAAAAAAGATTAAAAATTTTAACGTCAAATAATATTCAGTTTGCTATTGTGGAAATTAACTTTAAACTGAGGATATACTTTGGTCATACCCATCATGATGGTTCCTTAAAAAATCATGTACTGAGTTGCAAAATCCATTATTCACAAAAAGTTTTGTCAGATTGAAATTTGTAGGTTCAACTTAAAAATATTGTTGAGCAAAATAATGACACACATTACTGTAAGACCCCATAATTTTTTTTGTGATGATGTTTGTTCTTAACAATTGAAGAAGCTCTGATTAAGTCTTTTCAGAGGACTATATAGATTTTGGTTAATTTTTTTTAGTTCTAATAGAGTATTTTCTTAGTTGTCATAGAACATAAAAATTTTCATTTTAATACAAATATTTAAATTATTATTTTACAGTCAGTATGTTATTTATCTTTCCTAATGGTATAACTATATTACAAATTTGTGAATAAAAAACACCAGCATGTGCTCAATTATAAACGTCAGACATTATGTTAAATTATAAAACAAATAGAATTATGCTTTTTAGGTTCACAAATTAAATAATGTCTTTTAGGTATTCCATAAATTTTATTGGAAAGCTCTAGTTTCATAAAACTAAACTTTTTCATATAAAATTATTAGAAAAATTATAGTGTAAACCTTTAAATTTGCAAAACATCCCTAAAACTTCATAATTTTATAGATATGCTATAAAATTTACAGAAAGAACCTTGAAATGTCATAAATAAACCTCATAAAAAATTATATTTACTCTAGAATTTTAATGATAAAAAGATAACAAAAACCCTCAAATTACATCTAACACCAAACTTGTTATAAAAAAAAGATAAACATAAAATTAACCCAACAACGTGCAACGCACGTGCACTATACTAGTTTAAATAAATTGAGAAACTAATACGAAGAACAACCCGAAAGAAGCCTTTCACCAAATGGCAATGATATCAAATCGCTACTCTCCATATTAAACAATTCCAAGGGAACAACTTATCGTCCGTGTTTTCTCCCCTCTACCTTCCCTCTTATACAAAAAAGCTCTGTCCATATTCTCCCTCTCCTGCCTGTTTTATTACTGAAAACCCTAGAAAAATTGAAGTTTCTATTTCGAATTCTTCTTCGATTCTCAAGATCTCAGCGTTTCATACGATTCGGAGCTCTCGTCTCCGAGATCTTGGCTATCGAGCTTTCGTCCACGAGCGAATCTCTCCGTTTGTTCGGTTTTCTCGAAGATGAATAATCTTCTCTCGGTAACTTTCGACCTTCGAAATCTCGATTCATTTACGATTTTTTGTGTTTTTTCCGTATAGTTTACTTGCTATTGCGTTGATTTTCTTCAGATCAGAGGAGATCAGAGTTTCCATTGAATATAGAAATATATATATA